CAGGCGCAACGAGGATCACGTGGTTCCTATCCTGGAAGGCGAATAGCACCGACCAAGCGATTGAGAAGACATAGAGGTGAAAGTCCCGCAGCAATTACTGTGGTTCTCCTCATTGCTGCTTTTCTTTGTCGCGGCGTCTTATCCATTGCACCTGCTGAACCTATTTGTTTTCGTGTGATATGGTGTCATACTTTCTTGATGTAGGAACTGTTTGTAATGGTTCTCTCTAAGACGATCGTTGTTAGTTTAGTCGACTCTTTGAAGATCGACTAAATTTGATCTCTTCTGGGTGAATCCTTCAATTCAGAAGGTGCTCCAGTGAGGCGGACGAAATCGACATTTTTGAAGGAGCTCATTCAACCCTTATGTAAGGCTCCATAGAAAGGACAATGCATTTGCATTTCCCGCCAAACACCGCTGCCTTGCGGTTAGGCTTTTGAGCCAAAGGCTTTGGTTGAGGACCCCAGTCATCCTCCTGTCTAGATGTGGGCGCCCTGGCAGTATCCCAGCCCACGTACAACTGTACGGCAGTGAAGCATCGGTGTTGAACACTGATGTCATGCTGTCGATGATGATGATGTTGATGATGATGATGCTGTAAGTGTACAAGCCCCCTTTTGAGTGACTATTTGGCTAGTAAACTCCAGTTAACATACAGGTGCTTGATCTTTCTGGATAACAACATGGCGTTTCTCTCTTCCCTCCACTCGGCTCTAGCATCCCAGCTTAGCGATTGTCCGCGGTGCCGGCTTGGTCATGCGAGCTCTGATTGAAGAAGGGAGCGAAGAGGTAGCGTCGGAAATGCGCAGTCTGGCATTATCCGAGGGTGCCCTGTTTCATCACTTGTCCATTTCGTGCTTTACCCAAGGACGGGATGCCCGAAGTTTGGCTGTCCGGTAAGTCTGGCGTGCACCGCTTCTTTGACATGGCCATTCACTGTTATATCCTTACAAACTCGGTGAGGTTTCGAGGCTCAGAGTTTTGAGATCGAAGATTGGGCCTATTCATAAGGTCTCGTCAGAAAGCCACAACTTTCTCACCTGAGCCGTTTGAAAAACAAGGTTAGCGTTTTATCTCATTTACAATGCACTACATTGGTGCATTTCTATGTGCTACGGTTTTCTGCATTACACCTCTTGTATGCGATGCATTCGGACGGCTTGCCTCTCCAGTCATTTTCTCCAAGTGTCCGAGATAGCGAAAGAAGTCCTTCATGGTATGTGCGGAGACGTGATCTCTTGTCTTGCATCGTACATGGCTGACGGGGGAGTTATTTCGGACTTTTCAGGTCTCTTTCGCCACGTTATTTCGGATTTTCAGGTCTCTTTCGACTCGAAATCGTTCAGCTGTCGCACTCTTTCGGTGCCTAGCTGCCATGCCACCAGAAGGAAGCACGAGGGTTGGGATACTGTCAGGTTGCCCAAGCCTGGACAGGGGAAGTCGAGAGGCAGAGGTCAGGTTCGAACCACGAACCTTCCGGTCAGTAAATTCGCGCCCTAACCACTTGGTCCATCTCGCCCCGGGAGGAGGTGATCACCACTTGCAAGAGTCCCTTGGGGAGAATCGCCATAACGTGGTACTCTCTCGTATAAGAGGAGCTTTCATCTAATGCTTCCCCATCGTGACTATGTTGTCTCAAGATGTACCGAAATGTTCTTATCTCAACGAAGTTCTCATCTACGAAACATCCGTCCGACCACCCTGTCTGTGTTCCCCGGCCTATTAGCTATCCTGGTCTGGACAACCGGTTGGAGACGAAACGATCGAGATAGCTTATGAAAAGCAAGCTTGGACGTCACAGACTCCACAACCTAAGCGTTATTTCCACAACAACTTTTTATATATCGAACCCCCCTTCCCTCGGATTGAATTTGCGCGATCCGCATAGGAAGAAAGCAATCAGTTCTATTTTTCTCCGGCATTTCGGAGAGGCTGATGTTCGTCTCACTCCACAATCACGGTCCGCTCGTCGATTACAGTCCCGAGTCATCAGTAGAATAAATTTTACTTTGAAAGGTTGTTTCGATCTCCACTGCATAGTGTATTTGACTAATTTTAACGGCTTTGCGAGGCCTAACGTTTTGTGCACGTCATGTCCCCCTGAGTTGAGATGTGATCAGTTTAAAGCCGCCTATCGTTTGTCAGCTCACTTTATTATGGTGTTTGCAACTGAATGAATTTGTAGTCTTACAGAGAATGCAGTTTCTTTCCTTGTTTTAGTCACTTTGTTCTTAGGATATCACGTGTGCGCCACAACTTTAGCTGGTCAGCTTCAGCATAACTGGCACTCAAACTCGGTGGTGAACTATCGCAAGCTTTGTGGTGGCACTTCAGATAATGTGGCCTTCCTTTGATCATTTCTGACACCTCTCCGCAACTGCAGATCTCAGGCACAGGTCTTCACAACATACGGTTGCAGTACAAATTGAATGAAGCCATGGTCAACCTCAACTTGAGGCACTGCTTTAACGCGTACCGTAGCTCAGACATAATAGCAAACTGTTCTCAAGTGATCTTAGTTTGATCACCTAGGAGTCTCCTGCTTATGAGCGAATTTGAGACTTCATCGTCTCCGGTACATGATGTATGCAGAGAGGAACCTTCACGGCGAGTGCCGTCAAAACTGCACAGGGCTGCAACGAACGGTAGAAGTGAATCTTTCAGCTGTAGCACCCTTTCGGTGCCTAGCTGCCATACCACCCGATGAAACCATGAGGGCCGGGATACTGCCAGGTTGTCCAAGCCTAGACAGGAGCAGTCGAGGTGCCGTGGTGGGTTCGAACCACGGACCTTCCGGTCAGTAAATTCGCACTCTAACCACGGAACCATCTTGCCTTGTACAACATATGCTGTCTTGGATCTATTTGAAAGACCAGGATCAGATTTTTCCCCACATTCGGCCACCAAGGTTGACAGTCTTCCATTGAATATGCGGCACGAAGTTCCGGTTCTTTTTTGTCTAATGAGTACCTTGCTACGCAAGTTGACTGGTCACTCGATTATTGTAATGATGTGGCCACAAGATGCGCAGTGCTGTTAGAATCATTCTGGGCGGGCAATCAAAATGACCCACTGGTCATCGTAAACCACAGCTTTTATTAATTAAAGATGGTTTGCGATATCGACCAGTTCCAAGGCTGAATCGATACTCAGTCAGTTCGCGCGTTGCAAAACGAGGTCATCGGCCACTTATCTGTCATCACCGAGGTATGCACACGATCAGTTGGAAAAAGGTCAAATACCGACGTACCAATTCTCCGGATTGGGCAGTAGAAGATTTGCTAAGACAATGTGACGATGCTTACAGCCAAGGTCAACAGTAACTTTCTGGTTGATTATACCCGGTATAAATTGAGAAGATGTGAAACATGGGGAGAGAACTTTAATATCCTACCGCAAATAAGGTGAGATGCGTCAAGCCCGAGCCGGTCTTTTGGGCCGACATGTACATCAAACGCCACGAGAAAAGTGGAACATTCCCCTTCAACGAGTGGTGTTCACTGAGCTACCCACATTCTCTTCTCCCCTCGAGTGGAGCTACCGTACGAGAGAATGAGTAAAGTGGGCATACATCAACGCCGAAGGAATCCACCGTACGAGCAAGATCCGCTTGCTTCAATGTGTGCGAACAGTAAAGGCTGCTAAGTAGGCCAGTTAGAAAACAGTTTTTGAAATATTTTTACTGAAGGCGAGTGCACAGAAGTTGCAGTTAGGCATGAAAAAGCAGTCATCCGGGACCTACAGAGAGGGTATTCAAAGTGCAACAAGGGATTCAAACTTGTACTCAGTTCGATCGAAATCTTACCCTGGAGATGTGTTCCGTTTCAGAGTAATAGATGGCTTTACCGGTATTTCGCAGCGCCTGGATACCTCATTCTTGGTAGTCAATTTCGCTGATTCCACAGTCAAAACCCAAATACCCATCCAACCTGGTAATGGGTTCGAGTATCGGCATGCCATCATGCCATTCATCCCACGTGCACTACAAAAGCATCATTACAACACAGGATTGCGGGCCTATTCCCGCATCATCATCATTGTCAGCTGTCATAACCGCGTACTTGTCTTACAGTGGTTGTAGCTGACACAGTTTCGTCCACCAATGATTCGGGGTGGTGGGGTAGGTAGCTGCGCATTGGAGGCGCACGGACCAGTCATCTGTTTTTGAAGATTTATGAGTGATTCCAGCCCGTTCTCCTTGAAGAACCATCTCACAAGAGAACGCACCTTATCGAGGTAAAAAAGTATTTTAAGGCTCGAAGTTTCTCGCCATCGCACTCCAATCTGAGATTGTAAGAGCACTGCCGCAATATTCTGACCTCGCACATCAAGAGTACGGGAGAGACAGAGAGAAACGCACTGAGTCCAACGGCTTTTCTCCCACATACAAACGCACTGACCATCTCCTCAAAAGTTTATGTCCGGCACAGTTATTTTCTGGAGAGCCCAAATCAAACAGGACAAGCATCAGATTCGAGTTTCCCTTTTAATAGAGCTAACCAGCAGCCTTTATCCTTGACCTTCTCGGGGTTGGAATCATGGGACATCTGATATGTTAGCTAACCAGCAGCCTTTATCCTTGACCTTGTCGGGTTTTGAATCCTGGGACATCTGATATGTTATCACTGCTCTGCCAGGGCATCTTAGGGCGCGAGGGGGGCCTGCTCAAGTGATGATAATGTGATTTCTACAGCCAATCTAATGATTGACAGTGCAGCGGCGTATGTAGTAGGTACAATCAGATCATTTTATGCAGAATTTCACCAAATCCAAGAGGTTTTCTAGGAAAGTAGTACAACCTTTTTTTGCCGAAACGAAGACACTGGCTTGAATGCATATGCACACAAAATTCGACACGGACAGACCATTTTGTGCACGTGACTTTATCCGGATAGGCTTACTGAATTCTCACATGGTGATCGCTGTTCTTCCAAATGTGGTTTCAAGTGGTATCCACTCTCCCTTGCAAATGTAGGACCGTATATTGACGGGATGCTAATGGAAATATCCCGCTTTTCCGGAATTTGTTGGGTGCCCTAATATAAGAGATGCTGACACCTGGACCGGTCAATACGTGAAACATATTCCAGGATTCGAACCTAGGTCAACCAATTCAGCACCGAAAAATCGCACAGAGGGCGAGAAATTCCATCGCAGATAGCCTTAATGGATGATCGAAACGGCCAGGTGGTCTAAGACGTTTCAGGCTTTGTTTGTTATGACTAGAATCCATCCTTCGGGCATGTTTCAAATGAAAATTCATATTTCACCATCGATTCACGTGTCCTGTGACAGACAGGAACTAAGTACACGCGGCCAAACTGGTCCGCTTTCGTGGCAGGCAAGCAAAACAACTGAGTCACATATCCAGTCAACCCACGGCGCTCACGCAAGCCAACCAATCGGACACACATCCAATCAGCCACTCAAGTCACATGCCAGAGCGATGGTGGAACGACGAACGGACACGCACACTCGCAAACTCTCTGACACACCGAAGCAGCTACTACAGTTATGACTAGAATCCATCCTTCGGGCATGTTTCAAATGAAAATTCATATTTCACCATCGATTCACGTGTCCTGTGACAGACAGGAACTAAATAGACGGGTCTCGGTGGCAAACATCAGTACTCCTCAACTATGTTCGAATCTTGAATGTGTGCAAGCCTATCCACGTTCTTGATGAGACTAAGTAGTACCTTCATTTTGGTGAAATGTACTGCTATTTCATACTGGTAAAAGGCCACGGATCCCGGTCTACAAATCAATTTGGTATTCGCGAGAGACTCAACTGAACCTCTCGTTTATGACATTCTACAACTGAATGTGCTGCACACAGGCCCCCTCGTGTTTCTGTTGGTACGATATGAGTGTATTTCTCGAGAACAATCCAATTTGGCTTCAAGTAGAGCGTAAGGTTGACGGAAACGCGGGAACTGCGCCTACCTGATGAGCTGCAAGAAGGGCGAAACCGGTCGTGGGCTGTCGAAGACTTTTCAGCAACCTTATGAGTAGTTTTCTTTGTGAAGTTGTCCAATATCCGGATACAGAATCGGCTATCCACTTCTCTGGGAGAAGCGTTTTTCAATTCGCATCCTCAACCATCGCAGGACAAATATCGCAACTTCCATTGTCCGTGGGTCCATTCCACCATTTCCCAATACGATACTACTTACAAGATGGTGAAAATCCTTGGACAACCCGTTGCTGAGTTCGCCAATCTTGAGGGTGGACTTTCTCGGATTTCCATGAATCTTACTTCAATCACGGAACACCAAATCAGACACGTTTTGAGTTTAGTACTCGTTTAACTGTCACTTGGATGTTATCTCTCATTTACAGTTTTCTTCAACTGGATGTAATGGATGCATAAATGTGACCTGACTAATAATCAGGCGATTCAGATGTATGCCCCATTTACGCCCAAGTTCTCATACTACTACTGTTTCGCGCGCTACAACATAGCTTTGCGTAATGATTGGTCGATAATCATGCCTTTAACGCCAAGCGACCGGGTTATGGTGGCTTGAAGGTCACGTCTGACCTTGAGAGGGATCGATGGCGCACAACACACCATCACTCAGTACGTGGGTTGAATGTCTTAAACAGTTATCTCCTATTGTCAATAATGACGGTCTTTTTTTCACTTGTTGACTGTGTGTTTACTTCGATCATCTGGTTGGAGTGTTTTCAACAGCGTTTCGCGATAACTAGTGGTTGAGTTTGTCGGTTTTGTTGCAAACATTTCGCCACCAGTCGAAGTGATTTGATTGGTGCGTGGCTTTGCGATAGATCGGTTTTACTCGTCAGAGCCAATTCGAACGCATATTTGGTATTTTTGTCGATTCCAGTCAGTTTAGTTTCTGTCTAAAATTCATCTCGTTTGTGTTCTTTTTTTGCAGGCAACTCAGTCGTCAGTTGGTTACTTTATGGGCCGAGAACAACCCGGAAGCACAAGATCTACTCAAACGGATGTTTGTAGGTCGCGGTTTATTCACATTCCTGTTATCGCTTCCCAGCCTCGGCTTTTTTTGTACACTTTATTGGTGGTTTGAGGAGATTTGGTATATTCCAGGGAAATTTCGTCCCTTAAGTAAAGCAAATCTATTCCAAAAAACCGAGAGACACTCTGCAGCTGCTTTATTCTGATTGGGACTCATCGACAGCGCGCATCTGACGAAATTCAAGGGGTCTCCGCTGTTGCATCTAACACTGTCAGACTGTTCCCAAGTTGCTCTCGAGGAAGAGCTTGACCGTTATTACTCAGGGGCACTTTGATAAGCCAACATATGTTTTCTTCATTCAGTCGCAGGCCTAAAATTGAAGTGTAAATAGATTGAATTGAAATCGAGGCGATTGCGGCACCATTGCTGAAGTCATTTGTATGTTTTTAACACGTTACTGGCGCTTGACGTTACTGCTTGACCTCTAGCGAAATACACTCATTTGCAAACAAATTTGGTTTGGTTGTGATGTGTCCAGGCAACTGAATGTGTTGCACCGGGCCGCCTCGTTTCGAGATATCACGATACATGTATATTCGTAACGCACTACTCACAAGGTTGCTGAATTTGCTTGACCTGTCTTCTGTTTACTGCTGTCCCAACAACAACTGGCCCATTTTCTGCTCAGCGCTTGTCTGCTTCGTTCTGTGTTGAGTATAATTTACGGATCACCAAGTTTGGGATATCGTGGTTCGAGATACCAATAGAACCCGTTCGTCCTCGTGTTACGATACGGGTGGGTAAGCGTCTGTGTATCTGTAGAAGACGGGTTGGTCAACCAGTCACGTGTACAGAACAAATCCTCTGCTCATCGATTTCAAGCTTGACTGGGGTGTTGTAAGATCCAAGTGAAAGTTCGTCAGTTGAAAGGACATCACGGCCTACGCAGTTGATCGATCCCAACGCTCGCTGTTTGTAATTTGGAGAAAAACCAGTACCTTCTTCAATGGGACAACGCTCCTACGTCTTCTCTCGTCCGTTTGTCTTTCCCTCTGAATACCTATTTATCGTATCCATGTTCAGCCTATCACCAGGAGCTCTGTTTATGCCTTTGTACTCACCAGCTGCCAGCAATGAACCTCCGATCGACAGCGTTTGTTTATTTGTTCCTTTCATGTCATTTGTTGAACAACTTTGGCTTTTCAAAAGTGGTTTCCCTAAGAACACGCGTTTTGTAAGTCCTTGCCTCGAGACCATGGATCTTTCCCCGTGCTCGTTACTTCCTGTTTTTTTCTAGCCCCTTGGCTTGTTGGCCTATCTCGAAAGCGATGCAGAGCCCCCGGTCGTCGTGATCGACCATCTGCCTCATCGTGACAATTTGAAGTTAGCCCAGGTAGGTTCTGTGCAATTCCCACACACGCTGCTTTTACCTCTCACGCTTTTTCGGTTCTCATCTAATTCTGGTCTCACTCTTCCACAGGATCATATGACTCGCATTGATGAACGGAAACAAACGATTCGTTACCAAGTCGAGACAAAAATAGAACAACTACTCACCCACTGGCGTCTTCGGGTCGGACTTCCACCTCGGAAGGTGAGTCAATGACTCATTGTGCGGTAAACTGTGTGGTAAAGGAAGGGGGCGAAGTATTCCAAGTGGTTAGGGCGCGAATTTACTGTCGGAAGGTCCGTGGTTCGAACCCGACCTCTGCTACTCGACGTCCCCTGTCTAGGCTTGGGCGACTTGGCAGTATCCCAGCCCTCGTGCAACCTTTGGGTGACATGGCAGCTTGGCACTGAAAGGTGAACGATTTTTATGAAAGGAACAGATCTTTTGCTGTTTTGTGCTGTTTTGGAGTTCTTTTGGATCGCGTCACTCTCTCTTCACGTTTCCACATGCCTCCTACACTGGAGAAGAAACAAGACGCCGTTGCATACCGCATTTTTTAGTATCCCCTTACTGTCCGCCGTCTGGTGTTTTTCTCCTGGTTTGCGCTAGAGGAAATTACCGTTTTTTGCTGGGAGCTGTCAAGTGGGTCGTGTCCTGAAGGTCATAGATTCGTTGACATATTCGAAAGTTTGAGTCGACGATGCTTTGCAGATTACTACCAAGTGGAATCTCTTTAGAAAGTCCTAGCAGAGGTTGACGCATAATAAGAGTGTGGGGGATGAGACACAACCCCAGACTTGATTGAGCACTGCAGAGGTTTTTAAAATTGCAACTGGAAGCAGAGACTCAACGACCTTCAGAATAATCAACCCACTGGGTCTCTTCGCTTTTTTGCAGTGGATATTCTCTCCCTCCCACGTTTTTTTTACTAGGGGCATCCGCATAAACTTGACATTTTCTTATGGATGTATCTCATCAGAGAATGCGATACGGTCCTTTTTTGTCACATAGTTCAATCGTGTTCCCGACGTCTGTTGCAACCCTCCCCCTCTCTGCTGGTCGCTAATTAATGCCTTCGTCTCTTCTCCAGCCTAATGTCAATCGTGAGCTTGACGAACGACCCGTCGTACTGCGGTTACCGAGACACCAAGTGAAACCACTCCGTGCACCTGACACTGGCGACGGGGTTCACGTCGCCAATTGGCGCTATTTCTTCTACCAATTCGAGCAAGATCACGCCAAGCCGGATTTGGTTTGGAATCTACGGGTAGGTTCATGTGGATTTTTCAGGCGATTAGTTTATCTTGAACGTCTTCATTCAAAGTGCCCACCAAAACTAAGTTTCACTGCCCTTCACTTCGCTAAACAACCCCTCACTTTTCATAAAGGAAACTAATCACAAAGTTGCTGAAAACTCATCGATAGCCCACGATCGGTTTCGCCCTTCTTGGGGCTCATCAGGTAGGCTCAGACCCCGAGTTTCCGTCAACCTTACGTTCTACTTGAACCCAAATTGGACTGTTTTCCAGAAGTACACTCATTTGCAAACCACTTTTGTTTTCACGAGAGATTCAACTGAATCTCTCGTTTATGATGTCCTCCAGCTGAATGTGCTGCACACAGGCCGTTGACGGAAACTCGGGGACTGTGCCTACCTGATGAGCCCCAAGAAGGGCGAAACCGATCGTGGGCTATCGATGAGTTTTCAGCAACTTTGTGATTAGTTTCCTTTATGAAAAGTGAGGGGTTGTTTAGCGAAGTGAAGGGCAGTGAAACTTAGTTTTGGTGGGCACTTTGAATGAAGACGTTCAAGATAAACTAATCGCCTGAAAAATCCACATGAACCTACCCGTAGATTCCAAACCAAATCCGGCTTGGCGTGATCTTGCTCGAATTGGTAGAAGAAATAGCGCCAATTGGCGACGTGAACCCCGTCGCCAGTGTCAGGTGCACGGAGTGGTTTCACTTGGTGTCTCGGTAACCGCAGTACGACGGGTCGTTCGTCAAGCTCACGATTGACATTAGGCTGGAGAAGAGACGAAGGCATTAATTAGCGACCAGCAGAGAGGGGGAGGGTTGCAACAGACGTCGGGAACACGATTGAACTATGTGACAAAAAAGGACCGTATCGCATTCTCTGATGAGATACATCCATAAGAAAATGTCAAGTTTATGCGGATGCCCCTAGTAAAAAAAACGTGGAAGGGAGAGAATATCCACTGCAAAAAAGCGAAGAGACCCAGTGGGTTGATTATTCTGAAGGTCGTTGAGTCTCTGCTTCCAGTTGCAATTTTAAAAACCTCTGCAGTGCTCAATCAAGTCTGGGGTTGTGCCTCATCCCCCACACTCTTATTATGCGTCAACCTCTGCTAGGACTTTCTAAAGAGATTCCACTTGGTAGTAATCTGCAAAGCATCGTCGACTCAAACTTTCGAATATGTCAACGAATCTATGACCTTCAGGACACGACCCACTTGACAGCTCCCAGCAAAAAACGGTAATTTCCTCTAGCGCAAACCAGGAGAAAAACACCAGACGGCGGACAGTAAGGGGATACTAAAAAATGCGGTATGCAACGGCGTCTTGTTTCTTCTCCAGTGTAGGAGGCATGTGGAAA